CTGTAAACAATATTTTTAAATAAAAAAAAAAACAGTAAAAACGTATATGTCAAATTTATTGATGGTTTTGTTAAAAGTTTGGTTAGAATTAAATGTCAGTGGAACCAAAATGACATCACACTGAACCACGGTGTACTATAAGGTGCATCAACTCCTATTTAAAAACAAATGAAAACGGCGATAAAACCGATCGTACTTCCTAGCCAAAATCCGCTAGGTTCGCTAGTATCTATCCGGCGAGAAAGTAAATAAAAGATAAAAGTAGGAGCTGCAATTTAAAAAGTGTTGACAGATAAATATTTTTTAAAATCTTAAAATATATAAATCATGGTGGATCGTTGTGCTGTTTTTAATTGTGATTATGGGAGAGAGTCTTCAAAATATTAATAGCAGTTTTATAATGCCAAAAAACAGTTATACAGAATATGGTGCAAATTATTGGTGGTATGAAAATAAACATTAAACCCAAAAGTTCCATTTGTGAAAAACATTTTAATGCAAATTATGTTATCCGTGAAAAAGTGCTAAGAAATCTACTAGGAAACGTTATTTTTCAAGTAAATATGTTTAATGTCTACGTTTTAAATGATTGTAGGTTATGTAAATAGGTTATTCAACTTTGTCTTTTCTGTAATAAAAATATTAATTATTATTAATTATTAGTATAAAGTTTTACTATATAAATATTTCGTATTATTTATCCTGTCTCCTTGGTACTAATAATGTTATGACTTGGACCCTATTATAATGTGTTCATGATATAAATTTCATATACACAAGGTACCTATTTCTTTTGATATTTTTCTGACCCTGCGAATAAATAAAATCTTTGACTTATTCCTTTTAGCCTGATTATAATGCTAGAAAGTTGTATCTGGTTATAAGAATCAAATAGATACTATGATAAATTTATTTTACTTGTAGCCTTTTTATTTTTAAGTGTTCAAATATACATTTGTTTAATAATAATCATCCCCAAATGTGTTTTGTTCCAGTTCTTTAAATGTATTTACTAGGTTTTTATAGAAGTACTGATTTTAAATTAATAAAAATTTGAGCTGTAAGAAATATTTAAGATTTTTCAATTCTGTATTTTTCGTATTTTTATAGGAGTTAATAATCCCTTTAAGTAAATAAATGTAGTTCGGGGTCGTAGATGTTGGTAATTTGTGTATTAAATAATTTGTACATACACTGGTTAATAATTTAAACAATGTTTTTTCTGATGTACCTAATAATTATTTAAGGTTATCTTGTAGTTGAGGAGTCTAGAAATCCGCATATTCACACCACTCTGAAGTCTAGAATTTGACACAAATTTGAAGTTAAAAATAACGATCGTATTACTTAAAAATCTACAGATTTTTTTTAATTTTTAATCGATGTAAAAATTGGTAAATACATGATAAAAAGTAAAAGTTATTTCAAATAATTAAATATAACTTTGCAACTATATGTTACGATTCCAACTATCAGAACTAGCCAGAACAAGAATGGTGCATTTCCAGACCCTTCAATTATAAGATTACCATTATTTAATGTGCAGCGCAAATATAAAAAAAAACTACCTAAAAAATGCTGTTCCTGCTTTTATTACTAATGATGGGACTACTTCTCAAAGGAGACAAGAATGTGGAAAGTATTGCTGATACAGTTACCGAAGTTATCCACTGGGGGTGAAGTGTTAATCTTTTAGGAATATAGGAAATATTTTTTTATATCTAACAACTTAATATTTATTTATTGATAAGTTATAGATACTATGTATTTGAAATTCGAAGTAATCATTATGACAGCAGTGTTCTTCTTATTGTATTCGAATTCTAACACAAATAAAACATCTCGTTAAATTTTTGTTAAAATTATCAATTTATTAATTTTACATTAGAAAGAAAATTAACAATACACACAAAATTATTTAAAATTAGAAATAAATACAATTTACACATTTCCCATTATTACACTTTTACTTACTTAATTTATTCATTTCTTATATTAACAATTTAAATTAATAATATAGTTCATTATTTAATTGGAACTCATTTTATAATTTTACTAATTATTTTTTTATATTTATTTGTGGAAAATTAAATATTAAATAAAAGCATAGGAATTGTTCTATTAGATAATAGCAGTAATGAAAAAATAAGTAGGAAAATTTCAAATGTATAGTTTCCAGATTTATTATGAGTTTTTCATATTAATGTACTCAATAAGTAGGTTTATTATGTTCGCTTGTACACATCACAGTTAGCAGCAGACAGTAACAAACCTGACAACACTTCTGATTTCAGAAAAAAACATTACAACAATTTGTTTTACATTATATATTTCAATAATGTAATATAATAATCATTTATATTTAATTAATGACAAGGTTTACTTTTTAAATAAAACTATATGAGCCCTGTCCCGTTTCAATTAGCACACTTCTCAAATTTATAGTGACTGTCACTACAAGAACAAATCATACATAAATCTGATAAATTACTTTTATTTTTTTAACCCTTTCACTTCCACTTCTATTAAAAAAAAATACCATTGTAGTAGATTGTATGTTTTATTTGTTTATTTTAAGTAAATTAAAATTTTTTCATAGTATTTTTTATTACTCCAAGACATAACGTCCATGTTCAGGGACATTACAAAAACAAAAATTTACTATGAAAATAATTTTTTTATAATATTAATCCTTAAAAGTAATGCAAATAAAAGTAAATAAACCAAAAAGAAAAAATTTCTACCAAAATTAACAGATGTATAGGTACTTCAGGGTTAATTAAGACAGTGTCCCTCTGGAGGAACAAATACACTGAAAGGGTTAAATATTTACAAATTTTCATGAGTGTTTCATCACCTTTAACTTTGATAACGGCAATAATTCATTAAAACATTGTATTTACAAGTTCTTGAAAATCTTACGTGCAGGGAACCTACTCCATATTTCTAGATTACCCATTTGCTTTAATTCTGGCAGTGATCTTGTGGGTGCTGCACGCCTCTGCTTAAAAATTATCACCCCATATACAAAAGAGCATCTTTATTAAATGAACAAGAAACTAAAAAAAAATAAGCATTATTAAAAACTACAAAAAGTGCATAATTTGAAAATCCATATTCAAGCTTGAGATTTGTAAAATTAAAAAAAATTCCAAATACACATTTAACTTGTTCAATTATGTATTGAATAAAAGGTCTGTTCCAACAATGATCAGAAACAAACCACTGGGTAGTACACAATTTTGCAGTATCGATAAACTACTGTGCAGAATCCTGATGTCAGTAACTCATTTCTGAGCATTGTTGGAACAAACCTAAAGAAAATCGAAACCACTTAAAAACAAGCACAACATTTATACTCGAGCATAATTTTTAATTCCTATCAGAATTTTTAATTACTGAATATTTTGTTCTAGTTATATTAAAATTTAAAAGTTCTTACTCTTCATTATAATTATATTTTTTATTTTCCCTATATACTGTCTCTAACATTTTACAAATTTGATGCCTAATTAAAGATGTCATCTAGCATTGCAGCATTTTTTAGAATATTTGAGAGAGCATAGTAGTAACTGCCAGTTAAAACTTTATTTCTTGTATTTAGTTTAGGTAACAGAGACAACGCTTGGAACAGAAAATACATACTTCTGTTAATTCAGAATTTTTAAATGTTGTTTTATATTATAAATCTTTCCAGGTATCCTATATCATTTTTTTTATAATTTTCAACCAAAACTGTTTAAAAACAAAAAGTTTAATAAAAAAACACCCATTATATTTAATAAGGTTTATGCTCTAAAACTCACTGTTCTTTTAATGGCAGATTTTTTAACCTCTGAGTAAAGTTAGGTGTAAGTATAATCTATAGCCTAATCAGCAAGTAGTTACTTTCAACTTTATTCAGAGGTAAAAACCTGGCCTTTAATCTTAATATAATTCTGGAGGATGGAGACTACATTTGCTAGGGATTAGGGAATAACGAAGATCTGACTACTATAATGACACTTGCTAAAAACTGTATAAGTTCTATGTACATGCAGATAGAACCATGTGAATAACTTTAGTGCTTCGATAACACAACATTGAAAATTAACAGATGAACATATTGGTCACAAAAACAAATTAAATAATATATTCTACCAATCTCATTTTTTCCAAAAAGTACAGTTACAACCTTGTTATTCTTTGAGATGTATTTATTACTGATACTTATTAATAAAAATAATAATAATTGATATAGGTACTTACTGATCTTTGGAAACATATATACTCCAGTCCAGTGAGACTTCATTATTCTGGTATAATGCTATTTCACAGAAATGTTTGTAATTCCAATCACTATGTATGGATTTGATTATAGTAGGTATAAAACTAAATGTTTATTGAATATCTTTAATCTGGGCAATGAAAATCACAAAATTCACTTTAAAAATAATAAGCTTCAATCTGAGTACCATAGTTAAGGTCCACTTCTTCATTTTATAATCAGTAACCCACTGTATTGCTGTTTTTGCCAAAGCCAAAGGTAATATTTGAACACAAAACAAAATCAGCTGTTTTTTATAAACACCCCCATTTCACTTATTTAGTAGCAAGTCTCTGGCAGCAACTTGTAACTTAATTGGAGCATATTTATTAAATCTTGAACACTTTTTTTGATCGTATAAACTCACACATCAGTGCAGCTTGTTTAAAAAAAAAACACTTATAAGCAACCATCAATAACAATAAACTTATTTGTTGACCATTAATTTTTTCATCTGTACTCCTTCTGATAGTTTTGTCATTTTTCATTTCATATAAACTCGAATTTTCACCATAGAAGAACTATTTTTATGATTGCACTTTTTTGACAGATAAAAAGATTGCCGCAATTTTCCGCCGTAACGACACTAGCGAACCTAGCGGATTTTGGCTAGGAAGTACGATCGGTTTTGGTATGTTTTTTTCAGGGAGTTGAAACACCTTTATAGTACGCCGTGCACTGAACTAGCGCATTATGTAAAAGTAGTAAAAATTTGGTTTCTGCGTTGTCGTCATATATGACGCCGCTGTACCCTTTACTATTTAAACAAAGTCTACACCTGGTTATCAAAACAGTACTTGATTTTCTAACCTTAAATATGTATCAATGTTTTGTAAAACCCTTTTGTCACAAACGTGACACTACAATAATGGATGAGAAACTTGAGAAACATTATGATAATTGGGAAAGCTATTTGAGAAGGGCCAAAATTGATTTCGAAACTCGACTTCAATCCACTATTACAATAACTGCTGAGTTTGAAGATTTTAAAATATTGAAAGTTATAGGAACAGGTTCATTTGGAAAAGTTGTTTTATGCAAATACAAAGGAACTGATTCATTGTTTGCTATGAAGGTAATGGAAAAAGTAAATGTGGTCAGAACTAAACAAGTTTTCCATACTATTTCGGAAATTCGGTTTTTAGATGCAATAAGATTTCCATTCATTATAAGTAAGCAATCTTTTATTAAATGCTCAAAATTAATAGTTTAAATTATATGAAAGTAAAACGCTATTTTTATCTTAACTAAAACCTCATGATTTAGGGGTTTCAAAAAAGCATTTTCGTCGCAATATGAAGGAGGAGTAAAATGTTATATACATATTGGCGGTGTCAGATAAATATTTGAATTCTAACCAACTGCAGATTTGACAGTTATGGTGGCCCGAACCTTGGTTATATTTTGCGAAACTCTTTGAGAAAGTTCTGTAATCCGCTTCATAAAAGCTTCGTGTCAGTGGCGACCTGGTCTTCCGTTATTAAAATTAGTTGCTTATTTAGCTTTTTATAATAGTAATTGTACACGCTTTATAAGTTGCCGTTTTGTTGTAGGAAATTCACAACTGGCAAAGTGAAAGATGGGTTTCATAAATAATTTTTCTTCACCACTAATTAGAGTCGTATGGGGACCAATTTTTTTTTTTTTATTTTGGCATATTTCCTTGTACTTCTCCTATTATTTTTGTTAATAACATTGATCGCTTGTTCCATGGTTTCAACTGAATTAGGCATTTCAAACCACGGTCGGTAGGTACACAAGCAACAAAATACATTTAGTTGATAGGAGTTTAATTTTGAGCCGTATTCATAAAAAAGGTTATGCTTATATTTGCAGAATATAAAGGAAATCCTTCAGCTCGCATTTATAATATTCCAAGTAAAACTTTATACTTTTTTTTTTTTTTTTTTTTTTTTTTTTTTTTTTTTTTTTTTTTTTTTTTTTTTTTGTAATGGGATGGCATCAGACATGCAAGTCTATTTACCACAGAAAGTTTTAACTTAATAATTTTTGTATATATTATGTTAAATATTTATTTTAGTATTTTGAGTAAATTTAATAATAGCGTCAAAAATTATCTTATCTGATTGAACTAAAAGTGAAGAAATATTGAGTGGAAGTGGGAGTGAAAGTTTATTTAAATCTTGATACAATACGGTGGTATGTTGAGCATTTTTATTACAATCTAAAAATAAATGATTGATATCTGCTACAGCGTTTATATTGCAATATGGACAAAAGGGAGAATCCAATATTCCAATTTTACATAAATGTGCAGGGAATCGGCCGTGATTGAGCTTCAAACGAGTAATTATAGATGACTGATATTTATTATAGTTCCATGAACTGATGTAAGGAATATTCTTAGGAAGATTTGGATGTATACTATAATAGTGACTTTGTGATGCCTTCGCATGCTCAGTGTATTTAGATTTCCAACTACTTCTTACATCTTTTTTATAAATGCTAATAATATCTATAAAACTACAAAATAATGTAATTTGTTCTAAACTACATGCTTCTTTAGCAGCCCTATCCACATGTTCATTTCATGAGCATATCTTTCACAAAAAGTATTTGGTTATTCATAAACCTTACTTTTTACTCTAAATAAAAAGGATTACCTTTAATAATTTCGAGTGTGTTTAGTAGCAGACTCAGTTGTGTAGTGATAAGTTGTAGCGATGGCAGATGTTGTGGAACTGAGAGAGATTAAATATTACAAGCAGGGTTTATCAACACCTGTTCGTGATTATAAAGAATTATACCGGTTTGAAGAGGAAAATGTGCAATGGCTTGCCAACAGATTTTTGGGAATAAATGATAAAACTCGAGGAGGTGCGTTATCATCCGTCCTACAAATGCAGATATGTTTACGCTATCTTAGTAACCCTGGGTATCAGTTACAAAAACAGAAAAGTCACAGTGGTGCAATAAAAAAATTTTTTTTTCAATTTATTATAATATTACTGTTTTAATGTCGAGAAAAGACATTTATTAATTAAAAAAATATATATTTTCTTCCATTTGTTTATAAATTTTTTATAAACAAATGGAGTATTTCAATTTTTTTCAAATTTTTTTTACAACTTTCTAGACAATTGCCAATTATGATTTTTAAAAAAAAATTTTTTTCTTAATAATAACTTTTAATTGTTTATAATCGTTTTTTTAATGTATCTATTGTTTAAATTATTAGTTAAGAAATGTGTTTTTTTTTTTAAAATCATAATTGACAGTCCTCTACAAAGTGACAGCAAAAAAATTTTTTTTATTAATAATTCCATTGTTTATTAAGTTAACAATTTGTTATAAACAAATTCCCAACTTTGGTTTATTTTTTCCTAAAAGAAATTAAAATTACAAAAACGGCTTAGTGCATTAAAATTACCGAAAAAATTTTATTCCATTTTTTATTAAACTTAAAAAAAATCAATTTTTATAAACAAATATAAAAAACAACAAATTGACAATTGGTACAGAATTGAGAAATGACTATCTGAGAGATAATTTCATTGCCTACAAAAATGAATGTTTATTGTCGTATCTCCAATAGTTTAAACGTTATATCAACTTTTAAGTCAACAAATGGATCAGCTGCTGCAACTTTGATAGTACGTATATTTTCAAAGTTTAATAAAAAATGGAATAAAATTTTTTCCGTAATGTTAATGCACTAAGGACCGATTCCACCGTTGTGTTAAACGAAGTTTAAAATGACATTTTTACATTAACAACGTCATTTTAATTTCCGTTTAACCCAACGGTGGAATCGGTTTTAAGTCGTTTTTGGAATTTTTATTTCTTTCAGGAAAAAAATAAACCAAAGTTGGGAATTTGTTTACAACAAATTGTTAACTTAATAAACAATGGAATTATTAATAAAAAAAATTTTTTTTGCTGTCACTTTGTAGAGGGCTGTCAATTATGATTAAAAAAAAACACATTTCTTAACTAATAATTTAAACAATATATATATTAAAAAAACGATTATAAACAATTAAAAGTTATTATTAGGAAATTTTTTTTTAAAATCGTAATTGGCAATTGTCTAGAAAGTTGTAAAAAAAAAAATTTTTAAAAATTGAAATACTCCATTTGTTTATAAAAAATTTATAAACAAATGGAGGAAAAAAATTTTTTTTTTTAATTAATAAATGTCTTTTCTCGACATTAAAACAGAAATATTATAATAAATTGAAAAAAAAAATTTTTATAGCACCACTGTGACTTTTCTGTTTTCGTAAACTTTAAAAAATTATTATAAACAAAGTATTAACATTTTTTAAACTTTTATGAAGCTATTTTGTGTTATATGTATATAAAAAGAGCTCCACGAAGCAAAAAAAATTACGGTAATTATTTAATATTTTTATCAATTTGTAATGATGAGAGAAATTCTAAAAATTTTGTTAATTAACAATAACCTACTTTGTTGGAAAATTAATTTTTATAAAAAATTCTAACGGGAATGAATTCTTCTAAGTGTTTAGAATACACCGTAATTTTTTTACATTTTTGAATTAAATTGTAATAACTTAAAAAAATTATTTTATGTAACGTACTCGGTTTCGACGCCGTGCGCGCAACCTAAAAATGGCGCGCGGAAGGCTACTTTGAGCGTTAAATTAAAATTATAAATAATGGAGGTACATTTCCGGGAGTAGGAACTTATTTATAGCAAATTTCCTCCTCTTTAAGGATCTTTTTTGAAAAATCCAAAAATATTTATAGTTTACAAACTATGGGCGAAAAACCAAACACCATGTTTTTGAGGTGTTTAATTGTTTATAACTTTTACAATTTTTTATGCACTGTAAAATTATTCTTTACACATTTATCTAGACATTATTCCGAATCGAATGAGCTATTGAACATAATTTTTGTAATAGTATGTCCCAAAAACACGCTTTTGAACTTGTTGATTAGACTACTAGTCCTCCAAAAAAATAATAAGTACCTAACATAATAATACATAATATAATATTGTTAATATAATATTTTGTACGAGAAAATTTGTTGAATTGTTTACAAATTGTATGTATGCTTCATCCTCTTCAACTTTTTTCATAGTATTCACTTTAAACTCTAGTTGTTCATACTGCTCTAAAAGAACTAGCCGTTGAAGCTTTTTGGTTGTCCTTTTGTTTAATTTGTTTCGTACTTTTCTGTTGCTGTTTTTTGTCTTGTTGGCAAAAGAGATTCGACACTCTTAACACTACTAGATTGTGGTTTGATGGCTGATTCAGTCTCTTCTCGTGTAGTAGAAGCTTCACTCACTCTATACTGAGTAGATGCATCTTCAATACCAATTTGAAGTGCGCCTCCGATTTTTCAAATTATAGGATTACTGTCGCCTTCCTAGCCTTCTATAACTTTTACTCCCATTCCAACAGTTTGATTGCTTTATTTCCAGTTTTTTCAAGTCTTCCTTTCATATTGTTTATTTTCTTTAAAAAGCCTTTCGCATCCAGTGCTTTACCAAATGTCACCTCGTACTTCCTGGTTACATTTCTAAAAGCCTCATCCTTTTTAATAGTCTCATCCTTTCTAGCTTTTATTTTTGGTGTTTGGGATTTTTCCAAAATCACGGGTCACTGGCAATTTCATCTGCTATGAACTGCAGTTCGGTTGTAGCATTATCTTTTTCTGTACTTTCACTATCGCTGCTTGACGAATACATCTTCTCTGATCAAAGTACTGTACTCAAATAAGACCGATAAGAAAGAAATACCGTAAATAAACAAACCAACCATCGAAATCAGGTTGGAACCTGTCACGGCACACACAAGCCAGCAAACTTTTACTTAGTCTTGGAGGATATCCTTGCAAGTATTAGGTAATCATTATGAATTCAAAAAAAAAAGAAAATGATTTTACTCCTACATTTTTCTTCAACTCAAAACCTTATACTTACAGTTTCATGAATACGCGGCCCTTTGTTTTTCTGAAATACGGCTAAATTTCGTAATATTTAAAATTTTTTATTTAAAAATAGGACCTGTATAATTTTGTTAGTGCACTGCAAAAAACGTTAGCAATTTTGTAACCAACAGTAAATTATGTAATTTTTCAATAAGTGAAGGTTGCCTATTTTGAACTGCCTCCTAAATTGGACTACCGCCATATTTAAATGAACAAGCGCGATGGTAGCGACATCCTTAAAATCCTC